GGGGGCCCAGAAAACCTAGCTGTTTCCATATTTACAGACTCTTTGAGACAAATTGCAGAAATGTGGCATTTCTTAGTATTGTCATTTTTATTTCAGATTCATGGGGTTGCTTACATTTATTTTTCATATTTCCAACATTTAACCTAAAAAGTGACAGTATAATTCACAATGAGCAAAATATGAATTCACTTTCTCTAAGTTAATCAATTTGAGTTATCTTTTTTTAGTCTTTTTGTGAAATATGAAGTCTTGCCACAACTGTCTCGTAGTCCTCCTGCTGCCTCACAATAACGCGGCATTGTGGGAGACTGGAAATTGGGAAACAGTCTGAATTTATTGTTGGTATATCCTCAGTAGTTCTTTAATCATTTCATGATTTGCAAGACTTTTGAGTATGCCATTTAATTTAAATCACTGTAAATATATGAATAACTGGATACTACATATATATTCGAGGAAGCCTTTAAAGGAACACGCCACTATTTTTGAAAATAGGCTCATTTTCCAACTCCCCTAGAGTTAAACAGCTTTATCGTTTTTGAATGCTTTCAGCCGATCTCCGGGTCTGGCGGTTGCACTTTTAGCTGCAGCTTAGCATAGATCATTGAATCTGATTAGACCGTTAGCATCTCGCTCAAAAAATGACCAAAGAGTTTCGATATTTTTCCTATTGTTTTGTTTGGTTTTGCAGATTGATATAATTATTCTTTTATTGATTTTTTACTATAGTATAAGATTCATTGTAATATAAAGTTAATGTTAAAAATGAATAACTTTCATTTCTGGAAAAAAGTATATAGGAGTAACTTCTGTAATTTAAGACGTCATCAAATCACAAGTCTGTTTTCAGCAGTTAGGCTATCATTTAAACATCAAAAACATGATACCCTTCAATAATATAATTAAAGGGGGTCATATGATGCTGCTAAAAAAGAACATTATTTTGTGTATTTGGTGTAATGAAATGTGTTTATGCAGTTTAAGGTTAAACAAACATTATTTTCCACATACTGTACATTATTGTTTCTCCTCTATGCCCCGCCTTTCTGAAACGCGTCGATTTTTACGAAGCTCATCGGTCTGAAAAGCAAGGTGTGCTCTGATTGGCCAGCTATCCAGTGTGTTGTGATTGGCCGAATATCTCAAGCGTGTGACGGAAATGTTACGCCCCTCCCCATACTGTGATGCCGGAGTGACGAGACAAAAAACATGAAAACCCATTATAAACGAAGCATTCGTTGCATTCAGTGGAGACATAATTACTGATTATAATGACTTATACTGTCTTTTTACGTGTTGCGTTGCATCGCGCCACGTCAACATAAAACCATACCTGCATTTGTGATCAGAGAAATTACAAACTACAAGTGCTACTCTACACTGCACAAAACTCACGTTTGAATCATCAGTGGCAAATTCTTTAAAAATAAAAAACGTACTTACAGTCTGTGAGCCAGAACAGCCGGCATTGTAGTCTACTCTCCCAGGATCAGGAAACAGTCCTCCATAAAATGTGCTGCACACATCTGAATATTTGGGTTGAAGTGGTCTGGAACAGTGTTGTAAATACAGCTTAACCACTGATTTCTAGTCGTGTCCTCTTTTGGAAGACCAAACAAAGTAGTTTCGCTTTCACAACGAAACACACAGCATCTTCACGACATGGCGGCGGCGGCAACAAAACTACAGCGAGAATAAAAGATACGCCTTCTTTCTTTGCGTGAACATTTAGGTATGTGGGGGCATGTTAGAACAAGCCGTTTTAGGTAGGCGTGTTTAATTCTTAACTTTTATAAAGAATATCTCTTTGGTTTTGAGATTTTTGTGTTTGCAACTTTACAGATCTTCTTTATGCACCAAGAGATTGTAACACTCCAAAGAGAAAGGAAAAATGTAAATCGCATCATATGACCCCTTTAATGGACTGCATGCTTGATGTAATGCAAGGCCACATTATAGGTGAGCTGAAAAAAAAAAAAGATTTTCTGTCTGTACAGTGTGAAGAAACCACGGACATATAAACTCGCTACTAACTTGTAGTAGTGTTCCGTTATATTGATCCAGCTAACACTGTTCAAGAGCGATTTTTTGGTTTTAAAACCATTGACGGTCACACGAATACCGACTCAATCGCCAAGGTGCTGTTAGAGCAGTTGCGTGTAGTTAGCTCTCCTGACAGTGAATTTGACAAGGGGAGACTTATTGCACAAACATTTGACGGGGCTAATGTGATGAGAGGAGCATCTGGAGGAGTGCGTAAGAAATTACAGGACGTTTACACGAATGCACATTTTGTGCATTGCTATGCACACCAATTCAATCTGATAATGGAGCAAGCTGTTTCCGGTATGGCACCTGTCCGATGTTTTTTCTCTGATCTTGGTGGTTTTTCCATAGTTTTTTTCGAGATCCCCAAAAAGAACAGCAGTTTTGGATGAAATAGTAGGGAAACAGCTACCACGGTCATCTCAGACATGATGGAATTTTAGCAGCCGTGCTGTCAGGACAGTTTATGAAAATCAAGCCATTCTACTGGAATGTTTTGAATCTATCCAGTCATCTCTAGGCTTTGATTCAGTCACTGTTAGGGAGGCTAAAGGTTTCTGTCAAATGCTTTCTGATCACGAATTTCTCTTCTTTTTGGATCTGTTTCATTTAATTATGCCCCGTGTTGGCATCCTTTATGCACAGCTTCAAATGCGAGGAATTGACGCAGTAGAGGCACACAAGAGTTACAAGAAGTTTTGTGGATTCCATAGGCAAAATATGCAATGATATTCCAACTCTGTGCGCAAAATATACTGGCGCGGATGCTCAGCCTAAACGAAAGTGCACACCCAATTTACAACAGATTGCATATGAAGTTTGCGACACTGTAATAGCCAATGCCAAAGATAGGTTTTCAATAGAAAAACGTTTAACACATGAGTCATCGAAAAATGTGCTAATATGACACAGGAAGTGTCCTCATAAACCATGTTTACGTTGTAGTACCCATGTCATTATACACATTTGTGTCCTCATAAACCATATATACCAGTACACACACACACACACAGAAAGAGCACCGCAACTTTACAATTGTTCAATTAAAATAAACATATTTTGCTCCATACAATGTGTCTGATGTCTTTGATTAGCCTAGAAGTCAAATAAAATGACATTCAGAGGACTCAAAGGGTTACTCCCACCCCAAAATGAAAATTTTGTCATGAATTACTTACCCCCATGTCGTTCCAAACCCGTAAAAGCTTCGTTCGTCTTCGGAACACAATTTAAGATATTTTGGATGAAAACCGGGAGGCTTGTGGCTGTCCCATAGACACATACAGTCTTTCATACACGGATGCGCTGTTTTCTTTCAAATCAAAGCGTAAATACACGTAGAAAACGTATCCTTGTGGTACAGAAGAGCGTAAGCTGCCTGCGTTCAGCTCATATTCTCCAAAATGGCGCTACGGTGACGCGGAGAGACATAGAGGAGACGAATTGTTGTGTAAAGTCGTTATTTTTGTTTTCTTTGCGTACAAAAAGTATTCTCGTCGCTTCATAACGTTACGGTTGAAGTACTGATGGCAGCTGAACTATTCTGACGATGCTTTTCATACTTTTCTAAACCTTGACAGTGTAATTTACTTGGCAGTAAATGTCCGTCACAAGCCTCCCAGTTTTCATCCAAAATATCTTAAATTGTGTTCCGAAGACGAACAAAGCTTTTACGGGTTTGGAACGACATGGGGGTAAGTGCTTAGTGACAAAATTTTCATTTTGGGGTGGAGTAACCCTTTAAAGCGAAAGTCCCGAATGGCCGCTGCACGTCCTGTGAATGTCCTTCGCGGACGTCCGCTCGACGTCAAGGGGACCCTACACGCTGACGTCCGGGGGACGTTCACAGAGGCCCTTTAGGGGACGTCGTGGGGACCTTTTTTGTTAGCTGGGGAGATACTCAGTTACTCATCCGCGGCGATGCGTGTTGCGTCATATCTTACTATAACATGCCATATAGCCTATAAAACGCTCTCACACGTTTATTATTTAAATATTTTGGGAAGAGCAAAATTTGCATATGTGGTTTCAACAACCAGATGCATTCACACTTGTCCAGTTTCATCTGGAATGCCTCCCAGACCACCTCTTGAAATGGTTTGTGCGATTAGATTTAAATCCGTCTCGAAAGCGTTTCGGAGGGCATTTACTCCCGGTCTTTTCACAATCCGATAGTTATCCGATCAGAGAAAATGCATGAAGTGGCCAGGTGTCCTGTGGTGAATTGTGTGAATTTCACTGCTGTGACTTACTTCTACAGCTGTAATACCTCAAGTCAAACCTTACATTGAATTATTTTGCATTTATATAACTTTTACCTTGGTTCTCAATTCCTGTCCAGGCTCTGCACATTTGCCGTTTTTCTTTTATCTGATACACTCACATGAACTGAAGTTCATGCAGCTCTTTTCTACAGAGCTGATGGTCTGAATTAGAGGAGTTAGATAAGAAAAACTGCTAAATTTGCAGAGCTGTGGGGCACATGGCGCGGAATTAAGAACCGCTGATATAAAGGAAGTTGTGGCCTTGCAGGAACTCAATGCGATAACATTTAATCTTGTGATATGAGGGATAAAAAGCCACATGTCAACATCTTAAAGATGTATGGTTGCTTTCACAACACTTTTTTACTCACCAGCTCTAACATCAACACATCTCTTATTTTATCACTAAACCTGTTTTGAAGAGTTTGTCTTTTCATATTTGACTGAAACTGTTCATATTTGACTGAAAATGATTTGGTTCTGTTTGTGCTTGTGGTGTCTAGTTGGTGAGTTTTAAACATTTTTATGAGTTCTGCAGCAGATTCAGGGATTTTCCCCCCTAAATGTCTTTTATGTAACAACACTGAAGCTCAAATACTAGCAGCACTAGTTTTCATTGGAGATATTATTGTGTTTATGATGTCCGGAGCTCAAATTAACTTCAGTGTTTTATTCCAAATCACCACAAAGATGTATTTCAAATGTAAACTTCAAACCATTTACATTAGTTAACCATTAGTACGTTATTAGTAGTATTAGTAGTTCTTATTCTGTTTCTGTTTGCTCTTCAGGCGTGTTTGGGGATACATATGCGCTGAAGGCAGTGTCAGTGATGGAGGGAGAATCTGTCACTTTACACACAGATAGAGAAATGAGAAATAATGATCGGATTCTGTGGAGGTTTGGACCGGAAAACACTTTAATAGCTGAAATCAATGTGGTGGACAGCAGCATGACTGTAAATGATGATTCTGATGGACGATTCAGAGGCAGAATGAAGGTGGATCGTCAAACTGGATGTCTGACCATCACAAACACCAGAATTGAACATGCTGGATGTTATGAACTACAGACTAACCCTATGAAGAAGTTTTTCATTCTCACAGTCTACGGTGAGTTCAATATCAGTTTCATCTGTTGTGTCCATGTGTTTGTTTGGGATATTATTCTTCACTTTAGTGAATTCAATACTACCATCATGAAGGAATTTGAAAGTCTTAATCTGTGAGATACACCGTTTCTGTTTGTTCTGCAGGTGCGGTTGGCGATAGGGATGAGATGAAGTCGGTTTCAGTGATGGAGGGAAACTCTGTCACTCTACACACTGATACTGAAATGAGAAACAATGATCTGATTCAGTGGATGTTTGGAAACTATTTAATAGCTGAAATCAAGGAAACGGCCAACGGCATCACTATATATGATGGTGTTCTTGAAGGGAGATTCAGAGACAGACTGCAGGTCGATGAGGAAACCGGATCTTTGACCTTCACAAATGCCAGAATTGAACACACTGGATTTTATCAACTACAGACCAACCATACGAAGAAGGTTTTCACTCTCGGTGTCTATGGTGAGTTGGTTATACCTTGTTTTTTAAATTTATTACAGCTTTCAAGTGGGTCTAAAGAAGTAGTGTATCATTTACTTGTTAAATAAGATGAGATACTTATTTAGAACCCTAAAATGAAAATGTCTTATTAATTCCCAAGTTTACATTAACCGTTAACTTTCTATATCAGATTGTTTTTACGCCGTTCTGAATGGTTCTTCCTCATCTACATCGCTAGGGCCTTTCGCACCGCTTTAGTTCCAGAACTAAATGTACAGTACTAAAGTACTGGGACGATTTTGCACGAACTATTTCCCAGTACCATTTAAAGGGTTGCATTCGCACCGGCAGTGTGTACAAGATCTTACACTTGTTTCAAATTCACTGGCGGGTATATGCTTATGGGAGGTGTTTAGAGAAACGACTATAGGGAGTGATCATTATCCTATAGTGATTGAAGTCAATTTATGTATAGAAGAGTGTAATACAGGAGGAGTAGATAAATGTTTTTTTGAAAATGCTGATTGGGAGGCATTTAGGAGTATTAGTGAACAAGAAATGGAAAAAATGTAAGTTAAAGAAGAGGTTGATAAGGTTAATAATGATATTTGTAATGCTATATTGTTGGCAGCAAGTCAGACTATTCCAAAGAAGGGAGGTAAGAAAAAAAAGAAGATCGTACCATGGTGGACAAAAGAATGTGATCAAGCAATTAAATCTCGAAATAAAGCTTATAAAATGTTAAAAAAGAATCATAGTTTTCAGAATTTTATTGAATATAAAAGGAAGCAAGCAAATGTAAGGAGAATCATCAAATATACAAAAAAAGAGTTTTGGAGGAAATTTTGTAACACAGTGGGAAGGGAAACAGAAATAGGTCAAGTATGGGGAATGATAAAAAGAATGAATGGGATAAAAAGAGAGTTTGGGTATCCAATTTTAAGGGATGGAGATACAACAGCTATAAAAGATGAATAGAAAGCAGAAATGTTGGTGAAAATTTTTGTTAAAATACATAAATCAGACAATATTAGTGAGGAGGGAAAAAGAGGAAGGGAAAGGACGTTGGAGCAGTATAAAGAGATAATACAGAATGAGGAATACAATAATGATCAACTAAATATGACATTTACGAAGTCAGAGTTAAATCGAGCTCTTAGAAAAACCAGGAAATCAGCTCCAGGTATGGATCAGATTTGCTATTTAATGATAAGTCATCTCAGTGAATTATCCAAGGATGGTTTATTAAAAATGTACAATAAAATATGGGAGGAAGGAAAATTACCACAAAGTTTTTTTACTCCTCAGGCGCAGTGCGCGGTTGTGATACTGTTCAAGCTGTGATCCGATTGGTCGTCACTGCTCTAGTGGGCGTGGCTGCTGTGGCTGCCGTTGTTGTTCTGTATTATGACATTAGATCCAGAAGAGCTGAACATAATCAAGCACATTCTCCCATATCAGCAACCTAAATTATGTGGTTATTTCTGATTAACTTTGTCATTTATAAATGATCATTTATTTTCAAAGGCTTTGTATATTTATCTGCTTGTATCGATGTTGATTTATGAGCAGCTCATTTACACCCTAGAGGATTTGAGAATAAAAAGCAATCAAATGCAAGTATCAAATGCAAGTATTTGTCATAATAGACGTGGCCGTGCTGTGCGTGGGAGAGCCGGGAGACATGGTAGAGACAGCAGGGATGATCTAGATCTAAATAGGGCTGGAAATAGCGATGACAATGGTGGCTGGGTTCATTTGAGAAATGAAGAAGTGTATCAAGACTGGATCAAACGCTTTGATGAGCCTGTTGGTTATCTAGGAGAGAAAGATTTGACCAGTGCTGCACCCTTAGACTTTCTGTCCCTCTTTCTGACTGATGATTTCTGGAACCTCATTACAAATGAAACCAACAGATATGCTCATCAGTTTCTAAACTCCGTCAGAGCGGCTCTGGATCCAGTGCCCCAAAGAGGTGGGAGTGGCCGTGGTAGACGTGGCCGTGCTGTGCGTGGGAGAGCCGGGAGACATGGTAGAGACAGCAGGGATGATCTAGATCTAAATAGGGCTGGAAATAGCGATGACAATGGTGGCTGGGTTCATTTGAGAAATGAAGAAGTGTATCAAGACTGGATCAAACGCTTTGATGAGCCTGTTGGTTATCTAGGAGAGAAAGATTTGACCAGTGCTGCACCCTTAGACTTTCTGTCCCTCTTTCTGACTGATGATTTCTGGAACCTCATTTCAAATGAAACCAACAGATATGCTCATCAGTTTCTAAACTCCCAACAGCTGAAACCCAATTCCAGATTTCATAATTGGTATGATGTCTCTCCTAGCACTGCATTTGTGTATGGGGCTGGTAGAGAAGGCAGAAAAGTGAGTATGTGGGGAGGGGTCAGTCAGGTCATGACAGGCTGTTCAAGGTGCGTCCAGTAATTGACCTGATAATTCCTAATTTCTCAGCCGTTTATGGTCCACTCAAGGAGCTTTCTCTGGATGCAATGACCATAGCATTCAAGGGAAAGTCCACCTTGAAACAATACAAACCTAAAAGACCTGACAAATATGGCTACAAGGTGTTTGTGTTGAGTGAGGCCAGCTCAGGTTATGTTTTACCGTGGTCCATGTACACTGGCCAAAATGCTGATGTTGATTTAGGTGCCACCCATCTAATCGTTCGTCAGCTGATGGTCCAATACACAGGGAAAGGGCATGAGGTGTACATGGATAGTTACTACACATCACCAGCCATAGCAAACGAGCTGGCAAATAATGACACTGGTATGTGTGGGACAGTGAACAAAAGTTGCCTTTGAGCAAAGGAGATGACCCAGTGTTCATGAGACATGGCAAACCGTTAGCTTGTGCATGGCATGACACAAAGCGTCTCACTATGCTCTCGTCTCTTCATGGGAACTCATGTGTTTGGAAGCGTATCAGGTCAAAGCAAAGCGACACTGGTTTTCGTGAGATGAACAGACCTGTGTGCGTTGACAGGTACAACACCTTCATGGGAGGAGTAGACACCGGTGTGGAAAGAGGTAGGTTTTCATCCTCTGAACAGCGTTCAAGGAAATGGTACAATCGCATCTTCAATGCAATTCTGAGCATCAGTGTGGTAAACTCCCATATAAACTACTCCAAGTGTGCTCCTGGTCCGCACAAGCCACTGAAGGCCTTCATCCAGGACATTATTACTGCTTTTCTTGAGGGCTATTCCAAGAGGTAAAGCAAAAAACCAGGAAGGCCTTCAGTGGAGGGGGGGATGCCACTGAGCGCCACTGGCTCCGCGTTGCTGATGATCGGCCAGATTGCGTCGTTTGTTCTGATCGCGCACGTTCTAAGGGCCGCCGGCAGACAAAGTACAGGTGCAGTCAGTGTGGGGTAGGTCTGTGTGCTGTGCCATGCAATGAGAGGTACCACACTCTCAAGAACTATAAACTGTGTCACCTAGATACAGTGAGCAGAGGTCGGGGGCTAGCGTGAGGAACGGCCGGAGGGTTAGAGTGAGCAGAGGCGGGCGGGCTTGAGAATGGCGCGGCTGGCGATTTCAACGAAGGAGCATCCGGAAGGACATGTGACGACTCCTGGCTGGACTCCGCTTCATCCACGGTGAAAGCCGATGCGGCGATCCACATCACTAAGTTGATGTATTTCCTCAGCGACCAGCACGGATCAGCTTCAGGCACGGCGAAGTGGATATCGTCCTCTTTTGGAAGACCAAACAAAGTAGTTTCGCTTTTACAACGAAGCACACAGCGTCTTTACGACATGGCAGCGGCAACAACAATACTACAGCGAGAATAAAAGTTACGCCTTCTTTCTTTGCGTGAACATTTGGGAGGCGTTATGCAAATCTTCCCACATAGCGACGTAGATATGTGGGGGTGTGTTAGAACGAGCCGTTTTAGGTAGGTGTGGCTGACTCTTAACTTTTATAAAGAATATCTCTTTGGATTTGAGACTTTAGTCTTTGCAACTTTACAGATCTTCTTTATGCACCAAGAGCTTGTAACACGCCAAAGAGAAAGGAAAAATTGAAATCGCATCATATGACTCCTTTAATGTCAAATTCAGCATTTTTCCAAAAATCCCTGGTGCCTAAAGGGTTAATTTTACATTGTGTAAATAGACTCCATTGATAACTATTGCTATTTAAACTTAGTGCAGATAGCATCTATCACTATTTTTGGAACTGAAAATGATTTAGTTTTGACCTTAATATACCAAAAAAAAAAAATAATAATTTCAGGGGCAAGAAAACCAAGAAAAATTACAAAGTTTTGACTTTTGCTTCGTCTCATTCCCTTAAAAGAAGAGATGTACTGTAAAGCTTGCCTAAAGTTGTCAGAAAGTGACAGCATTTTTGATCATTTTCACAAAACCCCCTGATTATTTTGCTGAATGAATATTTGAACATACAATATATCAAAATTCTGAGTTGTTTTGTCAAGATGGCAGCTCGTGCGTGTCCATGTGTATTCTTGTCTAAGTTTTTGTGTAAGTTTGTATCTTCTTTTATCGCTGGAGTTAATCTCCAGTGAAGCTCATTACTGTGAGTGGATCTGTCCTGTGACTGATTGCTGATTCTGTTGATCGTGTTGGGCTCTGGTATCACTACTAATGAAGGGAAGATGCTGGCCCATTGAGTCTAATGGATTAAGTCCTCCTTTTCTGGAAAGTGCTTACATTATAACGCAACTGGCTTTGTCCAGTAGCATTCTGTCAAATTGTTTACCATTCATTGTTTTGATGGTGATCATATTCTGTTGGCTTACTTTTATCTGGTAATATTCACCCTAAACCTGGACCTGGCTATTTGAGCACTCCTGATGATTTTAAATCTAGTTCTGGAATTGGTTTTATTCATTTAAACAGTTTATTAGGAACATACAAAAAAACAACACGAGAGTCAAGACGTCGTGGGTGCAGATCACAAATCCTTGGCAGCGCAGGGACTACAAAGGGCAAGATGAAATAGAGTCAATGAAAACAGTCCAGAGAAAAATCCAACACAGACAAAGAATATCCAAAACAGCGGCAGGAAAGTGGAACAGGAAAACGGGAGACAGCGGGCACTGCATGAGAAAATAAATGGATGTGAGCAGAACAACGATCCAACAAAGACAGCAGACACGGTGACTATAAATATATGTGTGTGTGTGTGTGTGTGTACCTACTTAACCATATTTTGGGGACAAATTTCTACCCATAAGTGAGCTAAACCTGACAAAATCTCCAAAACCCTCCCTTTGGGGACGTCCTCATTTATAAAACTGGTATAAAAATAAAGTAAAAGTTTTTTTTTAAATGGTAAAAATGCAGAAAGTTTCCTGTAAGGGGTAGGTTTAGGTGTAGGGCGATAGAAAATACAGTTTGTACAGTATAAAAAAACATTCCGCCTGTGGAATGTCCCCATTTAGATAGCTAAGTAAACATATGTGTGCGTGCGTGTGTGTGTGTGAAAAGACCATCACATGCCTGGCATTTCCAAGTTGTTTGATATTTATGTGCACTGAAGAAAACAAAAACTGCTTCCAGTCGGTGAGTTCACTGTATATAACTGTATAATCAGGGGTTAAATTGGGCCGGGGCTGTCCACGTTGGCTTACGCTGGCAACTCATCAGAGGACTTTCTTCGTACGTTTTCAACAATATAGGCTATGTTTTTTCACACTTTTCTCATTCTTACTAATTCAAGCACTGATGCGGCGCGGGTGTTTTTATATGAATGTATCTCTGAAGGGAACCGGCAGAACCTGATTTTACCAAGTACGACATGTTCCTGGATCAACATTGTGATTAACCAATCAGACTTGAAGAAGCAGTTTATAGTTATTGTGAAGTTTAGGCTTACAATCAGTGTTTGGTGCTTGTACATCAGTGTCATTCATCTATCATTTTCTCTGATTTTAGGGATTACTAATGGTTAAGGTTAGGTTTAGGTGTAGGGATATGGTCAAGACTACATTTTTGGATTAAAATGTTGTTTACAGCCGTTACCGGGGAAACCGCTATTTCTGCCATTCCAAAAGTGCCTCCTACTGGCAGAGAATCTATTAGCGTATTCAATAAGCCTGTGTGCAGTTTTTGTTCAGATCTATGCGAGAATCCACCCTTATAACCCATAGACACTGCTCATACGGTATTCATTTTTACTTTTAAATTAATTTTTGCAGGTCTTAAAAAAGCCTTAAAGGGGTCATATGATGCAATTTCAAGTTTTCCTTTCTCTTCGGAGTGTTACAAGCTGATTGTGCATAGATAAGATCCCTGAAGTTGCAAAGACTAAAGTCTCAAAACCAAAGAGATATTCTTTATCAAAGTTAAGACTCTGCCACACCCCCCTAAAACGGCTCGTTCTAACACCAGCGTCACATCAAAGTGGAGTCAGCTGTCTTAACCGCGGCTTGTGTACTGCTTAATCACTGTGTCTGTTCCCCTTTCGGGCTTGAACTGATGATAA